TGTATGCAGAAAAATTCTAAGGAAGCTACAGATTAAAATTATTAAGAGAGACTAGCAAAGTCAGTATACAATATCAACATCAAAATACCAGTTATATTTCTATACACCATCAATAAGCACTTAGAAAATGAAATTTAAACCAATATTTCATTTATAGTAGCATACACAATTACCTTGAACGAAATGTAATAATAGACATACAAAACCTAAAGCAAAAGTTATGAAGCTTTGTTGACAGTGTCAAGTGTTTGTGAGAATGTGGAGCAACAGGAACTCTCAAACACTGATGGTGGAAGTGGGAATTGGTACAACTTTGGTATACAGTTTGGTGGTGTCTAGTGAAGTTGAAAATATACATAATCTATGAGCCAGCAATTCCTCTCCTACATATATACGTTGTGTGTGCACATATGTACCAGGAAACATTAAAAATATGTTCTTAGCAACAGTTTTCATAATTGTCCCAAACTGGAAACAGCCCAAATGTCCATTGACAGTAAAAGGATAAATTCTTGTAAAGTCATAGAATGGAAAGCTGTAACACAATACTGGGAATGATGAACCAATGCCACATGCAACCAGGTTGAATCTCAGAAGCATAATTGTAAGGGCAATGAGCTGGATACAGAAGGGTATATGCATTATGGTTCTATTTACATAAAGTTCAAGAAACAATAGTGTTTGGGCATCTATATTTGAGTGGTAAAGCTATAAAGAAAAGTAAGAAAGCAATAGCCAAAACTGTCATGAGAGTGTTTGGTTTGGTTTGGTTTGGTTTGGGAGAGAGGAAAGAGGTTGTGATTGGGCAAAGACTTACAGGAATTTCTGGAGTTCTGGTGTGTTCTGTTTCTTGATCTTTATGGTAATTTGCTCTATAATAATTTGTTAAGTTGTAAATTTATATTTTATGCACTTCCCTCCGCCCCAACCGCCCCCCCCCCCGTTAGAGTGTTTTAGAATGTGGAAATTTTAAAATAAGATTTATCTCAGGGCTTGTTGTAAGAATGCGATGAAGGATAAAGCCATGTAGAGCTTGTAGAATATGCCTGGCACTTTGTAAGACCTTAATAAATGTTAACTGTCTAAACACAATACAGATTTGTTGTTATTATTGCTTCTCTTATTTGTTGCCAACCCTGCCCCCTGTCCATCATATTTGTTGCCAGTGTTTCTCAGCTTACTGTTGGTATTTTTGTTAATGCTGTCTTCTGAATTATCGATCTTTTCCTTTATACTTTCTTTCATTAGTCTTAACTATAGAAAGTTCTCTCCAACCCAGAGATTTAACATGTATTGTGTTGCAGCTTTCAAAGGGGTTGCTTTTGAACATTTGATTCCTTTTATTCATTTTATAACAACAAAATATATGATTAAAAATATATGAAAAAATATATGATTAGTACATAATTGCATAAAATCTACATTTACTTCTCAAATGTGTCTGGGATTCATATTTAGTGTCATGGGAGAAAGGAAACTGGCCTTTTTTCCAATCAGGTAATGAAGTTCTCCCCAGCACCACAAATTGAACAATTTATCTCTCCTCCACTCACTGTTGCAGCTGTCTCCTCTTGCATACTTCAAATTCAAAACCATTTGCACCAAAAGCATAGACTGGAAACTTGATACCTGAACTGAATGTGATAATGCAACTCTGAAGGGAGAGAGGATGGTTGCCAGGCAGCAGGAGGGACAGCTGCAGCAAGGAGAGAATGTGAAAGAAAGGTGGGAAAAGCCTGTGTCAAAACAAGTATTCTTTAAAGGCTGCATCCTTGTGTATGGCGCACAAGCCACTTGCTGCTGTGACGTTTGGCTAATTATGTCTGTTGACCTTGTTTTCCTCACGTATCATCTCTATATAATAATAACACCAACCTCATAGGGTCCTGTGCACATGAGGGCTAACTCAAGTAAGGAACACAGACTTTGGGGTCAGTCAGTCCAGTGTCTTATCCTTGACTGTACCACTAAATAACTACATGATCCTAAGTATGTTTTCTAACTTTCCGGCCTGTTTCATCATCTGAAATATGTGTCAATTAATAGTAATTAAATTAGTAGCAAATTAGAAATAGAAAGTAATACTTATCTTGAGGGAGTTGCTATGAAAAGCTAATAATGCGTTTTAAAGGTTTGGCACTGGGTGCCTGGCATGTAATAAGCTTGGAATAAATCGCACTTGCAGTGATTTAAATTTTTATTGCTATTGCGGAAGGATCAGGAAGGGAAAGAATATTCAGCAAAAGAGACTGAGAAGTAGGCACCAAAAAGATCTGGGAGAGGGAAACCGTGAGATGATGTCATGGAAACAAGGGAAAATAGTATCAAGAAGGAGGGAGATAATGCACAAGGAGGTCATTCAAAGGCTGGTGTCTCCTGACAAGACAAAAGAGCAATTTTCATCTCTTAGCGACTAATGAGAATGAAGGGAGAAAGGAAAGGAAAAAACAATAATTATAAATGAAGGGTATTGAACACAAAATTTTCTAAAAGCCTTCTTTCACTTAACCCTGTGATCACTCCAAGTCTTCTATGTCTTCCAGTTGGGCAAAATACATACTTCTTGAATAAAGGAAAGCCAGTGTGACACAAAATGAAATAAAAAGTATCACTTTTGCATCATTTTGGTGAAGTAAAAATTTAGACAGTTTCAGGTTTACACAACAGAGGACAGGATGAGGGGGGAAGGAAAGGGGATGAATTACAGAGCAGGGTTTCAAAGTAATGATCTTGAACCTCCAAGCTAATTCCAGTGAAAAGGAGGGTGGGGGTAGGTGTAGCATTTACTCCTCTTTTCACTCTACCTGGTTTCAGAAAGAAATCATGACAGCATATCTAGGTAAATCATTCAATAGCATTTATAGATTGAATTTGAGAAAAGGTGAGCAGGAAGTGGAACTATATTCTAATCTTGGAGAGATGAGTGGGCAAATCCCCTCCAAGGATAGATTGCAGGAGAGGTAGGAAGGAATAAGGGGCTGTAAGAGCCAGGTAGTGTTGGGGGACCCTGTGGCTTTGGGGGCTTGATGAAGCTGCCTCCTGCCTGGGTGGTGGGTTCCTCTTCGCCTGTGGTGAGATGGAGGTGGCTGCCAGGGGCCAGAGGTGCCCCAGATGGATGCAAAAAGTGGGTCTCTTGAACCTTTACTCCTGCTCAGTTCTCAGCTAAAAGGTCAGAGGCAGAGGGGCCCTCCCAGTCTACTGGACATGAGCATTACGGAGGCTGAGGCTTAAGGCCATCATGGAATGTGGAGGAGGGGGAGGTGGTGATGGGCAGAGCACATGAGGCTGAGCCTCCATCTCCCCCCACCAAGAGGTGAGTGTGGCTCCAGGGAAGGGGAGTGGTGGTAAAGTGCAATTGTGAGAAAATGGATGGAGCAAGGGGGATAGGAATGAGATTGCGGGGATATGGATGAAGCAGGGGGATGTGAATGAGACTGTAGGGATATGGATGGAACAGGGGGGATATGAATGAGATTGTGGGGATATGGATGGGGCAGGGGGGATCTGAATGAGATCGCGGGGATATGGATGAAGGAGGGGGGATCTGAATGAGACTGTGGGGATATGGATGGAGCGGGGGGATAGGAATGAGACTGAGGATACAGGTGGAGCAGGAAGGATCTGAATGAGACTGTGAGGATATGCATGGAGTAGGGGGGATCTGAATGAGATTGTGGGGATATGGGTGGAACAGGGGGATAGGAATGAGACTGAGGATACAGATGGAGCAGGAAGGATCTGAATGAGATTGTGAGGATATGCATGGAGCAGGAGGGAACTGAATGGGATTGTAGGGATATGAATGGAGCAGGGCGGGTATGAATGAGACTGTGAGGACATGGATTGAGCAGAGGGGATAGGAATGTGATTGTGGGGATATGGATGGAGCAGGGTGATAGGAATGAGATTGTGGGGACATGGATGGAACAGTGAGGATAGGAATGAGATTGTGGGGATATGGATGGAGCAGTGGGGATAGGAATGGGATTATGGGGATGTGGATGAAGCAAGAGAAAGGGACCAGGGAAGAGCAGAGTTGGGGGTGATTCTGGAAGGAGAGCACTCCAAGGCAGATTCTGGGCCTGGCAGCCCTGGGAAGGCTGCATTGGGCTCCTTGCAGTGTGTGACTTCTACCCCTCCCTGGGGGACTCAGCCTAGACCCTTTTGTCCCCCATCGGTCTGCTAGCCTAATTAGAGTCCCAACCTCCACTCCTCCCACCACATAGCCCAGGGTTCTGTGTGAAACCTGTGGGTCTGCAGTTTCTGCCAGGCCTCCTGTCCCTGTCACTGTAGATGGGAGCCCACCAGCCTGGCCATCATACCCCTTCCCCTCTCCCCCTGTCCTTCTGTCCTCCACCTACATAGCTCTGTGCTCCTTTCCCTGAGGTGCCAGCTCTGGCTGCTGCACACCCTGTCTCGTCAGCCCAGGGGCCCCCTCTTTCCTCCCAGGCAAACTCCCTCAGGTCCTCAGGTCTGCATTCATTTCACTCCACTCCCTGCCTTAAATGAAATCATTCCTCCCTGCACCTTGCCAGTCTTGACCTCTTTGTGAGGATAGAGACTACTGTACCTACAAGAAAGTTGGGACCCTCGGGGATAGAGGTCACATGTCATCTTTTATCACCCTCTAATCTGAGGTCAAGAGATGGGGCAGGAGTAGTTGTCCTTTCCCAATACAAACAGGAATGGAGCCTCTGGAATACCCATTTTCAATTTTTGTCCCTGCTGTTCCCCATCTGATGTCTCATGATATATTCAAGAAGAAAACATTGGAACATTATTAACTCATGGGTGCAGGAGTTGGCTTTATGACCTAGGAGATAGGTCAGTTGTGTTAAGGGGTTGTATGGGAGATACTCAGTCCATTTCAGTTTCCTTTCTCCTTTCCTATAAATGAGGTTGATAAAAACCCATCCTCCTAGTATGACCCCCACTTATAGCTTCTATATTTAGTTTCATTTTTCTTTATCTTTCTAAAAGTAACATCACACAGAGATATGAAATAAGATGTTTATATATATTCATTGACATAGAAGTCCACAAGATATATTATTTGGTGAAAAATACACAGTATAGAACAGCATTTATATTTGATCACTCTTATCTATACATGTATCTATCTGGGTACACAGGTACAGGGAGATATCTGGAAGGACATTCACCAAAGGGCTGACAATGGTTACAAAAGGGTGCTGAGTTTCAGGTAATTTGTACTTAGTTTTTGTATCTTCCTTTATTTTTGAAGGTTTATTGAAAAGATGCTCCTTTCTTAAAAAGTAGAAAGTCATCAAAGAAATAGACACATGGAGAACAGACTCTTAAGCCAGCAGAGAAGGGAGCATGGACAGAGGTCACACCATTCCCCTCCACTGTGCTGGTATGCAAGACCTCTTCTCTTTCCCAAAGGAAAACTGCTTTGTGGATTCATGCAGTTAGAAACCCACCCTCCTCTCCTGTTATTCCCATTACTCTGAATACAGTTAAGAACTCATTTAGGGCTGGGTCTAGATCCTTACTGTGGCTCAAAAGCATCACTGTGTTCTCCAGGGACGTCTTTTGACCTGTCCTCTGTATGTGTCAGCTCCTGCAGGGTGATGATCAGATTCTCAAAAACCTGGGCCTTGTTGCTCTCATTGTCACAGGTTTCTTCTGAGTGGCCCTCCTTACCACAATATGAACAGCAGATTGTGTATTTTCACTTCCTGGCTCTACAAATATTCCCAGGACCATCATTCTTATACCCAGAACCACCACTGGTAGAAAGAGACTAAGCCCCAGAATTGTTGGGGGAATCAATAACCAGCACTTGATCCAGAGGTCTGGCTCTTCCTCTGAAGGGAGGGACACCTGTGGGTGTCAGTGGAGGGTCCAGAGACACCACCAGGATCACATCCTCATCGGAGTCATCAAGGGTATCATCTATTTCTATCACGTTGCAGTTACAGTTAGCACTGCCGATTGTTATTGACTGGGCACCCTGAAATGCCACAGGGCTGGCTGCCTTCTCCATAATTGGCCCAGACCTTTTCGGCCGCTTCCGTTTAATAAAAGCATCATCCCAATCCTCTTCCTCCCTTATCATCTTGATTAACTCCAGGAAATTGGGAAGCCGCTCCTGCGCATTTGCATACATCCTGAGAAGATGCTTAAATTTAAGCCTGAAGCACAGGTCCCTATTCAGCTCGGTGCCTAAAAGAAGCTGTTGCAAGCCAGTCTGGTTTGCATCTTTCTCAGCTAGGATGCCAGCCTGAATAGCATTCTGGAGCTGCAACTCTAAACGGATCACATAAAAGGAGGCTTTCTCCCCTAGTGCCTGCAGGGTGTTAACAAATTTACCATGGGCAGTCACACTGCTTTCAAACTCCCCAAACACCAATTTCATGGCCCGCAAGAAATCTGCTACACTTAGGTTGGGGTTGGCCGCCTGAAGCAAACGCATGACCTCCCGGGCAGGGCCCCTAAGTGTTTTCATCAAGCGCTTGAGTTTTTCCTCCTCAGACATACTCCAATCTGGCAGGACCCCATTGACTTGGATCAGCCAGTTTTCAAAGGTTTCTTTCCCCTGGGCTGGCACCACTCTCCCCGAGAACAACTTCATGTTTCTCTCTGCCATGTTGACCACGAAAGGACCGAGACTCCTCCCCAGAGACCTCAACATGGAATGGGCCCAAGGCGGCAAAGGTGCATTCTGCTGCCTGCTGTTACCCACACGCGCAATGATGTTAGCCATGACTGACGACGATAGGGTATCTGAATACAACAAGATACTCGCGCTTTTTGGAAAAGCCTTATCTGCAGGATTCTCCAAAGCAACGTTCATGGGCTGTGCCTGCCTTGTATTTCAGTAGGGATTCTAAGGAAAATAAAAACGGTTAATAAGATAGTGGGCTGTGGGGAAGCAGTCTGTAGTAGCATTCTCGATCTTCCTGAATAACGTTGTAGTGCATTTTATATCTGCCCAGTGCCTTAACAATACCCTGCAGGAGACTGGCAATTACAACATTCCAGAGCTAGCAGGTTTCCTTGGACTAGTAGGTAGTTTTTCAGAGCCACATCCACCCACTCCTGCCTGTACTCCAGGAGGGGCGACAACTGTTGCTTCTAATTCTAGATGACATAGTGTTTGGAGCTTATACTGGGCCCTCAAAACGGAACTCAATGGTTGTGGGTCACAGATTTATGGTAATAAGAAACCATTAACCTCATGGCCTCAGGTCTCAATCACATCCCCTTGTCAACGTTTCCCCCGTTATTTCTCAGATTCTTACATGAACTCGGAAACTAGCGTTCGCCTTTATTTTACGTGCAGCCTCTCAACAGGTGCCTGCCGTGAGAAAATTAACCTCTGGGGTAGAGCCGACTTTTGTCCACTGGGGGTCGCAGGTCCCAGTCCTCAGGGCCTCAAGACTGTGACGCGAAGGAGGGAAAGGAAGGATTGGAAGCAGCTTCATCTGAAAACCTGATACCTCCTCTCCACCAGCTTCACTGTCACCAGGCGGAAAATTCCCTCTCCCATCTTCTGAACGCAAGCCAAAGTGCCTCCTGCCCCCATCCCCACCCCGCCTTACATTTCCTCCGGGAGACCCTCGCCCTACCAGCTCTGCAATCCGCCGCACAGAATCCAAGTTCGGATTTGGCTTTGATGACCTGCCAGGGAGAAAGAGACTGGAAGTTGGATAACCTCCCACCCCCATATTCCTTCCCAGGAAGAGAGGAGGAGATGCAAAAGGGGTTCAAGACAGCTTGCGATCGTCTCCTCCCGCCCCTTGCCACCTCCCCGAACACACCCCCACCCCCGATGCCCGACAACACCCCCGATCTCCGACAACACCACGACCCACCTTAATCCAGGCAAATTCTAAATTCTACCCAGTTGGCAGCATCCAGATGAACCACAACTCCCTCCTCAGCGCAACCAGGCCAAGGGAATGCTCCATCCCCTGCCTCGCAGTTACTGATTCTCCAAGCCAGGCGCGGCCCAGTCCTGGCGGGGCTTCCACCACCCCTCTCCGCGCCGGGCAATCGCGCGCTCTTTCTTTACCTGCGCTCCACTGGTAGGCAGCATGTGCTCCCGCGTCGACAGCTCTGTTTTGCCTTCTGGTCCCCGTAGCTCTGCAGGGGAACGGTATCTCTGGCGCCTCCTCGGCCGCTAAGCGACCCGGGGCTGCCAGACCTAGCGAGAGCTTCGCATGACCGCCCAGTAAGGGGTAGCGGAGTTGAGGCAGCGCGGTTCCCAAGGCAGCCAAGGCTGCGCCCACCCTCCGGTTCGGCCCTCCGGGCAGCAGCGGTTGCTTTCAGTCTCTGCCCATTGAGACAAAAGAGCGTGACGAGCCGGGCGACGCGGCCAATCAGCGGGGCGAGGGGGCGGCCTCCCCGCGCAGCCTCCGGCCCCGAAGCTACTGCTAGCAAGAAGGGGGTGCGGGAGGGCGGGGGCTGCGGCAGACAGGCGCGGGAGCCGGCACGGCGTCAAGTGCAGCTCGGAAGCACGGACTGGGCCCATTTCCCTTTCATCCGTGAGTTTGCTGCTACCCCATCGCTTCCCTTCTCCCTATCCCCTTCCACCTCGGCTCTCCTCCCGGCTTTGAGACCGGATGCCTTAAACACGAGGTGGGACAGAAACCAAGTGAACAATGAGAGTTCCTCACCTTTGTATAGGCGGAAGGGGGGAAACAGCGTTTACTGAGTGCTTTTTGTGTGCAGAGGCGCCTGCATGGACATCTCCTTTCCTCTTCTCAGCAGCCCTGTGAAGGAAGTAGCAGCGTACCCATTTAACAGGAAAGGACTGAAGCACCCAGGCAGTACAGTTAGGAAGTGCAGAGCTAAGAGCTGACACCCAAGTCAACATGTCTGACTTCAAAGGCTGCCCCTTGCCAACACTCCTCTGTTCTGTCAGATTAAGGGATAGTGGAGAAAAACCAAGGCCAGGATGGGAGGACCAACTTGGGATTGCATAGAATTGGTGAGCAAGAACCGTTATCTCCATTTCACAGATGAAGAAACTGAGCCAGAGAGAGAGAGGTTACTGGTTTTGGCCTGTATCCTGCAGCAAATAAGTTACAGCATCCAACCTAGCACCTGTATGTTGCTCTCTAGATGCTAATTCTTTGCCCTGCAGCGCTGCCTGGAGAGTATTTTTGCACAGGTAGTCTCAAACCATCTCAACAGCAGTCTCAATGTGATGATAGTGCTGAGGGAGGGGGTGAGGAGGTAGTGGGGACAGGGCTGAGGGAAGATGGAGGCAACCTTTATGGTGCCCATTGTACAGAAGAGGAAACTCTTTTTGACACTTTTCTTTCTTGTTTCTTTTTTTATTATTATTAATCTTTTTTTCTTTTGCTTTTTTGTTTTTTTAACACAAGCTGCCTGTTTTTTAAAAGCAACATTATTTCTACAGCCCTTTGTGTCCCCAAAGAGGCCAGGCTCAGAGAGGTAAAATGATTTATCTGAAAATACAAGGTGAAGCCAAAATTTGAACCAAGTCTCTGAATCCAGAACTCATGCTATTAACCAAAGTGTGAGTACAAGGTGGGCTGCCTCCGAACCATTTTGGAGAGCTTGTTATAAATGCAGCTTATTGGGCCTTACCCCTGGGGGATTTTGATGTACTAGGACTAGGGATGAAGAGTGTGATTTGTAGTTTTAACCAGCCCTGTAGTTGATTCTGAGGTGTAGAGAGATTCGTGAACCACTGTTCTAAACACCACCACGTGATGCTGAAGGTTATGAGTAAATGGGCCTGTTATCAGTGTATCTGTCCATGGCATATCTGTCATGAAATGTAACTCCAGAGCACAGATTCCTACCCGCGGTCCTTCCTGGAATTGTATGCAAAGAATCTGGACTCCGTACATTCTTCTGAGTCCACAGCTTTGCAGATTTTTAAATGGGTCTGTCATAACATCTTCCTTCTTCAAGCCATGCTTGACGAAGAAGTGTGAGAAATAAAACCCCATTTAACCTAACCCCCAGACCACAGCTCTCTGTTGCTGATATAGCTCTTTCATTTCCTGGCTCAAGGACAGGTTGCTAGGTTGCCCTTCTGTGAGCTCTTCAGGGGACTTCTCCTTTGCTGGATTTGGCATCACTGGCCCCAGAGAAAGAGCAACTCCATGGAAACGGCATGCAGGGTTGTCCAAAGTGAATGGCCGTGAAGGCAGTGGCTGGAAAACCTGCTCCATTTTCCCCTGACTTAGAGAGCAGGTATTACTTCCTTTATGTATAGTGTGACTAGGAGGCTCCTGTGGGGCCTGTTCTTGACTCCTGATGTTTAGAAGCAAGTAAACAGTCTGATGCCCTTCAGCTGCTGTTGGCTTCATCTTCAGTCTGCCAAGGTACTTCACTTGCTCCTTTCCACCCTCTTATTTACAACCCCAAGATTTAGAGTTCCTTGGAGTAAACAATATAAATTTGGAGATAAAGCACCTTCCATCTCAGGATCACGGCCTGTGGATGGAACAGTGGGATAGTGGTGGTGGAGGGTGGAAAGTGTGGATGTATGGAATAGGCAGGTTGCTCACCTTGCACACTCAGGGGTGATGCTGGCAGTAGCTCTTAGGCTTCCTTCAGACTTTTGCTTCTGCTCCCCTGTCCCATGACATCTGACTCTTGCCTCCCAGAAGACTCTTGTTCAGTGTTTAAATTGGCTTCATCACCAAATTAGGTATTTGCAGCTGGACTTGGTAGGGATGGAATCACATAAAACCAAGAATAGGTCTCAGAGCTCTGACAAAAATAATGATGGGAAATGGATTGTGTAAAGTGGCCAGGGTTGGGCTACTAGAACAAAGCAAGGGACTCTTCATGCAGGGATGCGGGGAATATTAGCAACCTGGCTCAAGTTGGATACAGGATATCCTATCTCTGGCCTCATGTGTATGAGTGTGTTCCAACTGATGGCTCTAATGAGACCACATTTTCTAATTTCAAAAAATAAACCTTAAAGGCTTGAAGGTTTGGAGATAAAGCTTTCAGCTGAAACAATAATAGCTGCCTTTGGCTGCCTGCCTCCTTTGTGCCAGGAACTTTCTATCTGTTATCTCTTTTAAGCTTCTCAGTAACCCTGTTGAGACAGCCATTGTATCCCATTTTGCAGACAGGGAAACTGAATTTCAGGGATGTTACGTAACTTGTGTTAGGCTTCACAACTTTTAAGTGGAGGCACTGAGACTGCAGGCCAGGGATGTCAAACACCAAAGCCCATGAAAACTCTTCTTTGCTGCCTTCCAAACAAGCAGTCCAAAATGCATTCTGCAGATGACCCAGTTCATTAGACCAATTGCAGCCTTTAGAACAATTTAATTGTAATCATGCCTTTATTCCTATTATCTAATTTTTTTGACTTTTAAAATTGTGTGTGTGTGTATATATATA